TACTGTCAGACCCTGGAATAAGCTACTTTGCCCTTCCGGGCCTCAGTTCCTCATCTTTAAAATAGGGACAAGCCTGGGCAACATGGTGAAACCCTGTCTCTACAAAAACATATAAAAAAAATTAGCTGGACATGTTGGCGTGCACCCATAGTCCCAGCTACTTCAGAGGCCGAGGTGGGAAGATAGCTTTAGCCCAGGAGGCGGAGGCTGCAGTAAGCTGTATTTGTGCCACTGCACTCCTGCCTAGGTGACAGAGTGAGACCTTGTCTCAAAATAAAATAAAGCAGGGACAATATCAAGAAGTATATTAGATAGCATGTGTCCTATCCAGACCTTGGCCCATGTCCCAAGAAAGTAGAGGTTAGTTCCGTCTACTCCTCTGGATATAAATAGCACACATTTCTCATCCACCTACAAAGAAGTCACAACCATTTAGTGACCAGAAGTTTGTACACTTCAGGTCAAGAGAGAGGTTATTCTGCTAGGGCAAGTAACGCAACTCTCCTTACCCTCTACCACCAACCCCCATCAAGGGTCTCATAGGAGGCCCCCGGGCACTCAAAGTCTAGAGGATGTGGCACCAAGCCCAGCAGTGGGCATATAGCAGGTGGTCAATAGATATCTCTGTAGTGAAGGACTGGAGCAAATATAGGTCTAGACATGTAGGGCCTGTGAGGTTTTTCTGATGACAGCATCTACCCTTGCCACCCAACCCCCAGGAGCCCTTTCATATAAAGCTAAGCTTTTGGTCCCCTTTTGTGATGTGGGTGCCTCTTGTGGAGGCACAACATGACAACCACTTCTGTGGTTGTTGAATGATAAATTCAGATGTCAAAGCTGAACAGAACCTTAGACGGCAGATTCAAATTCCACTTTACAGATGAAGCACTGTAGCCTGAAGAGTTTGGGTAGCTTTTGTAAGTCAGTGGTGGCACCGGCATCAGAGCCCAGGCAGGAATCCTGACTCCCAGTCCAGTGCTCTTCTTCCTCCAGGTCCAGGCAGTACAAGCCACTCACTACTCTATGTGCGGAAACACCTATGTGCATGAGTGGCAAGGGCCAAGGCATTCCCATCAGACTTCAGAGAGTGGGGGTGTCTCCCAGGGTAAGGGTTATATCTTTTCTGTCAGACCGGAGACTTCCACAGGTTAGCGCCCCAGAGAATCTACTTAACAGACGCCTACTGTGTGCCAATCACTGTGAATACAGGGATGAACAACACTGGGTCTGCACTCTAGAAAGGCTCAGAGTCTGAGGCAGGTTCCTTTCTCCTTTCTTTGCCCCCATCCCCAACCTCACACAGTGTGGGGGATGCAGAGTGGAGAGGGAGGTTGGTGTGGGGTCGAGCAGGGCCTGGGAACTCTGTGGGCTGCCCACAGCCGGGATAGTTCCTTGTCCTCTCCAAATCCCAGAGGGACACTCAGTGTCCAGGAGGAGGAAACTCTCCCCAGCTGCAGGCAACACCCCACTGGGGCCTTGGGGGCGGGACCAAAGGGCTGATCCTCAGCCCAGCCTCAGGAAAACATGACCCCCCACCTTGGATGACCCTCTCCCCACTGCCTGGCTGCTGGAGGTGGAAACTGGGTGTGTGCCCGAGCCCCAGCCCACTCAAGGCAGGGCTAGACTTGGAAAACATCAAGCCAAGAGCAAACTTCAGCCAGGAGGGGTTTGCGTTCCCTCCTCCTCCTGCTCTCAGGAGAGGGCCAGGCAATGGTTCCATCTAGTTGTGTCTGCCAGTTACTAGGTGTTTGGAACAGGCCATTTGGGAGGGAACTGTGGTCCCAGGACTATGCAGCAGCCCCAGCCCCCTGGGAGTCAGCCCTTCTCCAGTCCTGTCCCCAGCAGAAGGCAACTGTTTCCCTGCCCTGAGGCAAGGCTAGTGCAGGTGAGGAGTGGCAGCTGGGGTCAGTGGGCATGGTTTGATTCAGGCCCACATCCCCATTCATAACCAAGGAAAAGCCTAGCTCATTTCTAAGCCTTTCTTTCCTCATCTGTGAAATGGGAACAGTCAGACACCCTTTCCCTACCACTAAGGCCACCAGCAAGGACACCGTCAAGACCCAGCACTGAGAGCCCACTGGTCCCCAAGATTGGGACTGTCATGCCTGCTGCCTGGACATCCCAGGCCATTTAGCCAATATCTGGCCTCGGGGAAAGAGAGAAGCTGGCAGAGGGCCTGGGATAGTATTCGTGGGGACTCCTGCCCACCCATCCTCCCATCTCCTCCTCCTCTTCCTGTCTGGTCCCTGGGGTAGAGAGTCAGAGATATTTCTGGCTGCCTCCTCCAGGCCTCTGGCTTCCCAGGCTCACACAAGTGGTCCCCACATCCCATCACTGCTTTGATGGAGTGAACTGGATGAGAGTTCCCTAGCAGGGGAGGCACATTCGTGTTGGTTCTGCAGATTCATACGTGAGGATCTATGCATATATATCCTAAGGGGGAGAGAAGTTCCCCTGCCTCTTCCCACCTTCTACTTGGTCATTGCAAGCCCCTCATCCTCCCTAAGAAGGCCTGCAGGTAAGGATGGGACAGCTGCACATCTGAATGGCAGATACCATTTTACATATGTCTGGGCCTCAGTTTCCTCACCTTAGAATAAGGTAGCAGGAGGAGATAATTATTAAGCTCTATTCCATCCCAAGCTCCATTTTGGGACCCATAGTTTTATCTGGTCACCCAGAAAAGTTCTGTGTAGTGGGAAAAGTGCCATGGAGTGGGCAGCAGGAGGCCTGGGGCTGTCTGCCTCAAGCTACAAGACCCTGAGCACCTCCCTCCACTGTAAGTGAGAGGATTGAACCATATGAGCCTGAGGTGCCTTCCAACTATGCCCTCCTGACACAAGGCGACTGCCCAGCATTTGTAGCACAGAGAGGCATCAGAGCACAGTGGTATGGCCCAGCACTTTGGGAGGCCGAGGTAAGTGGATCACTTGAGGTCAAGAGTTCAAGACCAGCTTGGCCAACAAGGTGAAACCCTGTCTCTACTAAAAATACAAAAATTAACCAGGCGTGGTAGTGCATGCCTGTAATCCCATCTACTCTGGAGGCTGAGGCAGGAGAATCGTTTGAACGCAAGAGGCAGATCACACCAGCCTGAGTGACAGAGTGAGACTCCGTCTAAAAAAAAAAAACCCCAAACCAACGAACCAAACAAAAAAAAGCCACCACCAACAAAAATACAGTGGTATAGCCATACCCTCTAGCGGTCCCCAACCTTTTTGGTGCCAGAGATTGGTTTCATAAAAGATAGTTTTTCCACAGACGGCGGAGGGGAGATGGTTTCAGAATGATTCAAGCATATTACATTTATTGTGCACTTTATTTCTATTATTATTATATAATGAAATACTTATACAACTTGCCATAATGTAGAATCAATGGGTGCTCTGAGCTTGTTCTCCTGCAACTAAACAGTCCCATCTGGAGGTGATGGGAGACAGTGACAGATCATCAGGCATTAGATTCTCATATGGAGCAGGCAACCTAGATCCCTCCCACACGCAGTTCACAAATAGGATTCACCCTCCAATGAGAATCGAATGCTGCTGCCACTGATCTGACAGGAGGCAGTGCTCAGGCAGTAAAGAGGATGGGGAGCGGCTGTAAATACAGATGATGCTTCACTTCTCACCTCCAGCTGCACAGCCTGGTTCCTAAGGTCCGTGGCCCCAGGGTTGGGGACTCCTGCTTTAGAATCAGGCTGGCTGCATTCCAGGCCTAGGTGTGCCACTCTCTGGCTATGTGACTAAACCTCTCGGCACTTCAGTCTCTTCATATATGAAATAAGGCCATTAATTTCTAATTCATAGTGTTGCTATAAGCAATAAATGGATAATATCCATGGGGGAAGAAATAATAGTATCTACTCCTAGGAGTGTTGCAAGGAGTTAATATAAAGTGCTTACAATAGTGCCTGACACATAATGCAATTAAAGTGTTAGCTATTATTTTAGGAAGCCCTTCTTCCCATCCACAGGCCTATGATCCCCTAGGCAGCCCCAACTCCTTTTCCCAGGATCTGGAGCCTCGAAGCAAGTGTGGAATTCCCATTCCCATCCTAACTCAGGGGCTTTATGGGATGCTCATCTGCAAAGCAGGGTTGCTACCTTTTCCATTTTTCAGAGAAGAAAATTGAGACTCAAAAAGAGATTGGACTGGCCCAGAGTCAGGGTCAGAAGCCCAAGCCAAATTAAAACCCTGGTCCTGGACCCCAGTCTGGCCCAACGTATTTGCTCCATTTATGCCTTGTTCTCCAACCTGCCTGTCCCACTCCTCTGAGCTTAAGCGGTGAGATGGGTATTCATTCCGTCTCAGCGACTTCCTAGCTGAATGACCCCGGACAAGCTACCTAAACTCTCTCAGCCTCAACCGGGATATTTCAGATGTTGTCCCAAGGCTGTGAAATAGGTGTTATTATTGGCCCCATTTAATTTTTTAATTTTTTTTTTTGAGGCAGAGCCTCACTCTGTTGCCCAGGTTGGAGTGCAATAACACGAGCTCAGCTCACTGCAACTTCAGCCTCCCGAGTTCAAGCTATTCTCGTGCCTCAGCCCAAGTAGCTGGTATTACAGGCACGTGTCACCACGCCCGGCTAATTTTTTTTTGTATTTTTAATAGAGACGGGGTTTCCCCATGTTGGCCAGGCTGGTCTCGAACTCCTGACCTCAGGTGATCCACCCTTCAAGGCCTCCCAAAGTGCTAGGATTACAGGCGTGACCCACCATTTCTGGCCTACTGGTCCCATTTGTAACATGAGGAACAGTTAGGACACTCGCACGAGGGCACACAGCTGGAAAGATGCAGGTGAAATGGGTATCTCCCTAGCAGCCCTCAGTGCGCCGGCATGCTGCAGGTGCACGGCATATGGTCACTATTATTACCATTTCTTCTAAGGAAATGAATGACCACACAGGTCTCCAGATGCCCTCCGGGCCCGGAGCCATACAGCCTGCGGGCCACCACATCACATGAGCCGTACTATCTTTAGCCAGGGAGAGATATTTATAGCCCCCAGGGAAGTTTTTTGCTCCGAGGGAGCCCTACAGTCTGTGGCGGGCGAACCCAAGGCCCCAGCGGAGGCCTCCGCCCCGCCGGCTCGCCATGCCACGGGGCCCGGAGACCCCGGTGCAGGTATGGGTGGGCGGCCAGCTCTTCCAAGCCGACCGCGCCCTGCTCGTGGAGCACTGCGGCTTCTTCCGCGGCCTCTTCCGCTCCGGCATGCGGGAGGCGCGCGCGGCAGAGGTGCGCCTGGGCGTTCTCAGCGCGGGCGGTTTCCGCGTCACGCTGCAGGTGCTGCGCGGCGAGCGGCCGGCGCTGGCGGCGGAGGACGAGCTGCTGCAGGCTGTGGAGTGCGCCGCCTTCCTGCAGGCGCCGGCGCTGGCGCGCTTTCTGGAGCACAACCTCACGTCGGAAAACTGCGCATTGCTGTGCGACGCGGCTGCCGCCTTCGGCCTGCGCGACGTGTTCCACAGTGCCGCGCTCTTCATCCGCGACGGCGAGTGCGAGCTGGCAGCTGAGCTGGCGCTGCCCGAGGCTCGCTCCTACGTGGCGGCCCTGCGGCCCAGTAGCTACGTGGCCGTGAGCACGCACACGCCCGCGCCCGGTTTCCTGGAGGATGCGTCGCGCACGCTGTGCTACCTGGACGAGGAAGAGGACGCGTGGCGCACGTTGGCCGCGCTGCCCCTGGAGGCCAGCACGTTGCTGGCCGGGGTGGCCACGCTGGACAACAAGCTTTACATAGTGGGCGGCGTGCGCGGCGCCAGCAAGGAGGTGGTAGAGCTGGGCTTCTGCTACGACCCCGACGGCGGCACGTGGCGCGAGTTCCCCAGCCCGCACCAGCCGCGCTATGACACAGCGCTGGCCGGCTTCGACGGCCGCCTCTACGCCATCGGCGGCGAGCTCCAGAGGACGCCCGTCAGCTCCGTGGAGCGCTACGACCCGGCCGCGGGCTGTTGGAGCTTTGTGGCCGACCTGCCGCAGCCGGCCGCCGGCGTGCCCTGCGCCCAGGCGTGTGGCCGCCTCTTCGTGTGCCTGTGGCGGCCGGCCGACACCACCGCCGTGGTGGAGTACGCGGCGCGGACCGACGCGTGGCTGCCGGTGGCCGACCTGCGGCGTCCGCAGAGCTATGGCCACTGCATGGTGGCCCACCGCGACAGCCTCTACGTGGTGCGCAACGGACCTTCCGACGACTTCCTGCACTGCGCCATCGACTGTCTCAACCTGGCCACGGGCCAGTGGACGGCGCTGCCCGGCCAGTTCGTCAACAGCAAGGGAGCGCTCTTCACGGCCGTGGTGCGCGGCGACACCGTGTATACGGTCAACCGTATGTTCACGCTGCTCTACGCCATTGAGGGCGGCACCTGGCGGCTGCTCAGGGAGAAAGCCGGCTTCCCACGGCCCGGCTCATTGCAGACCTTTCTCCTAAGGCTGCCTGCTGGCGCCCCTGGGCCTGTGGCTTCGACAACGCCAGAACTGTGACCTCTGGCCGGCTTTAGGAGGGAGGAGACGCCGCGACTCCTCCCTGAGTTATGGTTGAGTGTGTGAAGCCGGCCTTAGAAGTAGCTGGTAACTTCCCTCCTTCTACTGAGACACCCAGGTCTGGTGCCTTCTGGTGGTGTGGACATGTTCAAGCAGCTCAGGGAGCAGCGATGATGCCATCAAATCACTTGGGCTCTGCTGAGAGCTGGTGGGTCACAGTGTCAGTGAAAAGGGTAGGGGGAGTTGGGATTTGAATAATCCAGGCTTGTATGTAATGGGCTAGTGATTGAGCATGGCTAGGAGTGAGTTAAGTGATGTTGATCAAACTGCCGGTAGTAGGCAAGAATTAGGCACCTACTGTATGCCCAATACAATGTTATGCCTAATGAGAGCTGTAGTTGCCACACAGGGATCCAGGAAGCTTAGAGGATAACCCAGAAAAAAATCTTAACAGTTACAGTACAACAAAAAGGTTTACACACACTTGATCCACAGAGTTGAAGGCAACATGCAAAAAAATTTAAAACCACCTACAGTATAATAAAGTGCTGAAGAAATCAGGGCAAAGGGAAAATAGGAAGAGGAAAAATATGTAACTCCAGAAAAGAGGAGTGTGTGCAAACTCTATGGAGGAGGTGAGCAGGATACCATTAGCTGCTGAAAGGGGAGGGTTGGGGAAGGCTGGAGCAGATCTGGAGGGTCTCTGCAAGTCCAACCATACCGGCAGAGCAGCAGTAGTTGGGGCATCTGGAGAGGTGGTGAGACTGGGCCAACTTGTAGGAGATAATGACTGAGCTGAGCCTGGAGTAAGACCTGTGGGGGTGAGAGAATTTTTCATGTTCCCTTTTGGGACCCTTAGGGGAGCACCCAGGTATAAGCCCTTGCCCACCCTGTTTTTGCCATCACCACAGGGGCAGTGGACTGTTAACCCATGTGACTTCAGGTATGAGCCAAATCCTGCCTCATCTTCCTCAGTTGTAGCCCCTCCTCCACATTCTACAAGTTTGTTCTCTTCTGTCCTATTCTGGCCTTCACGATTCCCCTCGCCAGAATGCCTTGTCTCCTTCTCTCTCCCTGTCAGTGCTCTACCATCCTATGTGCAGCATTGGCTGACCCAGCTCTTCGTTTTCCTGACCTGGGCTGCCTGCATTGCTCATTGGACCCCTGGCTGTAACATCATTGTGTGTGCACAACCACGTGTGCGGATTGTAAGGGCAGAGATCATGTTCAGTGAGCTGGGGGACTTCCCTGTCCATGATTAAAATGATGATGCCTTGAAAGCCCAGTTAGCAACCTAGTGCTGACCTCTGTTGTTGGATGAGGACTCTCGTTCCTTCATCAAAATCCCCAGCTCCAGCTTTTGGGCAGATGCTTGTCCCAGCCCTCTCCAGCCTCTCCATGGCCTTGGGAAGACTTCTCTGGGTGGTCCTGATTGGTCTCCATCCCCCAGGACCTGAGGCCCATGGGGAATCTTGGCCTCATCAGAAGTGGAGAATGCAGTGTCAGCATGGCACCTCCGGGGCATGGAGGCTTGCTCCAGGGCTGCCCCTAGCTGCCTCTTCTCTTGGCCTATGTCCCAAGCCTGGAGAATGCTGCCCTCAGAAGCCTGGGACCTTCCAGCCCTGGAGTAGCCTAGTCTGATAAGTCTCAACAATAAACCCTGACTTTTTCTTCTTGTGAATGATGTGCAAGGTACTTTCACATCTGTCTTTCCCCTCCAGACCTACCTTGGGCCTGGGAGTTGGGTACCCTCTTCTTGTAGCAAAAACTGACCCACTGGCCCAAAGCCACACAGCATAGCAACAAGAGTTCCTCACTTGTAGTTCTATCAAAGTGTAATCCTTCCCTCCCTCCCTCCCTCCCTCCCTCCCTCCCTCCCTCCTTCCTTCCTTCCTTCCTTCCTTCCTTCCTTCCTTCCTTTTTTGAGACAGGGTCTTGCTTTGTCCCTGAGGCTGGAGTACAGTGGTAAAATCATGGCTTACTGCAGCCTTGACCTCCTGGGCTCAGGTGATCCTCCCTACCTTAGCCTCCCGAGTAACTGGGACTACAGGTGCACATCCCCACACCTAGCTAATTTTTATAAAATTTTTTGTAGAGGTGGAGTCTCATTGTGTTGCCCAGGCTGCCTTGAACTCCTGGGCTCAAGCAATCCTGCTTCGCCTCCGAAAGTTCTAGGATTACAGGCATGAGCCTCTGTACCTGGCCTCAAAGTGTAATTTTTGTCACACATCAAAGATTTATTTAACTCACCTATAAGAGAACCAAAAAGAATGGCAAAGCTGATTGAAAGAGCATTTGAGAGACAGATTTGTGTATTTAGTTGGAAGAGACATACTAAAATAAGTTTGCTAAGTTAGAGACAAAACTGGAATATGCCTTACAGGACAAAAGCATGATTTTTTTGGTTCCCTACTGAACAAAAATCCTTTGCATCTTTACATACATGCATGTACATATTTGTGCATATGCCTACAAGTTAGCATGTGACTTCACAAAGTCTGGGCTCTAATCTATAGTAAATTGTAAGGCAAAGGTACGTTCCCCTTGAAAATTAAATAACTCTTCTCTGTTCAACCCTGTCCCAAAGTGACACTGAAAGGAAAGAATCCTCCTTTTGCCTTACTTCCAAGTTACAGATAACTTTTCCAAACAGTACAGAGCATTTTCCTCCTTGCTCGTGCCTCCTGACCAGTGCTGAACACCTGAGACTTGCCACATCGTGATCCATCAGCTCGTAGTCTCTCTCATCCCACAGCGTTGTCTGCACTTGAGGCTGTTCAGCCCTGGCCTGCTGTCTCCTGGCATTTGGTTGTTCCTTCATCCAGGGCGGCCCTTTCTGAGATGCCTTTTGTGCATAATAACAACACTGTTCACAGAGCGCTTTCCCACAGTTGACTTGCTTGAGCTTTTAAGAATTTTAAATGGTAGATAGTTTGGCAACACCCCTACTCCAGCAGCTTAATGGAGGGGAAAAAGCTCAAGGGTCGTGTGATTAGAAGAGGCTCGTTAGGAAGTGGCAGAACCTGGCTGTGAACCCAGGGCCATAGGCTTGTCTTATGTGCTGCATGACTGCTTGGCCGACATCCTGAGATGGACACGGTGTTTCCAACAGTCTCCTTAACACTCCCTCCCTTTTGCCTTTCTCTATGTATCCCCACCTCTTTTGGGGGTTCGTTTGTTCCCTTGGACTCAACCCTTTCTCCTCCCTCTTCCGTAGGAAAGTTAACTAGTTCTCTTCCCTTAGGATAGACCTGGAAGACCAGTAGCCCCGTTCAGCCCAGGTAATGACTGGTTTAGGCCCTGGGGGATATTTGCACGTTCACCGTTCACCGATACTCCCTCATCTCAGGAAGTGTGGGGAGCTTTTGTAAACCAGTTTTTGTAACCTTCTCTGCCTAAGGGTTCTCACAGGTAAGGCTTTGCTCCACCCACAGTCAGCATGTCAACTGCCCACCGCCCTCAGCAGGGATGGTGACTGTGCCTGGGGTGCTGGTGAGGAAACCAGCAGAAAGCCAGAATGGCTCACCCAGAGTCACACAGGCAGTCACGTGGAAGAGGAGGGACCTGAACTCAGGACTTGGGATTCTCAGCCTCTCATTCCTCAGCACCTCGGCTTGACTGCTGCATGCAGGTGTGGGGGCACAAACCAGGCGCAGCTGGGCAAATTACAGAAACACTTAGGAGTTCCTGAGCTCAGAGTGCTGGGTTTGAAATCTCTCGGTCCCAGCCCAGAGGTTTACTCTGAGAAGTCCGTCCTTTCTGAGAGGCCTACACTCACACAGCTTAAAGCTGCAGGGATCATTTTCCTGGACCTAGTGGCAGCCCTACAGCCCGACTCTCTGGAGCTCTCTCCAGTCTTCCACAAACGTTCTCCTTGCCCCTGACTCCGATGTCCTGCACCCCAAGCCTTCCTCTGCCTGAAATCATCTTATCTGGTTTATATAGCCCGCCCGGCAGAGGCAGAGAAGCTGCCCCACCCCTGTCCTCCACCCAGGACCCGCTTCCTTGCTGGCTTCCCTTCAGTGTGCTCACAGGGCAGCCAGAGCCATCCTAGTTCAACAAAACGCTGGTCAGAGCATGGTGCTCCCTCTCTGAAAGGCAAAGTCCTTTCAGACTCTCCCACCCTGTTTTCTCCCTGACTTCATCTCCCACTCCTCTCTGGCCTCATCGCTCTTCAGACACACCAGGCACACTCCCAGCTCAGGGCCTGTGGCCGGTGTCTGCCTGCACACTGCCTCACTTAGCCCCACTCTGCTTCCTGCAGGTCTTGGCTCAGATGTCACTTCGATCCTGCGGGCTTTCCTAACCTCCCTGTTTAAAATCTACCTCCCCCTTCTCTGTGTGTTCTCCCTTTTCCTGTTTTATTTTTCTCCATAGCGTTTAGCATCATCTTCCATGCTATCTTTTCACTTGTTTGCTGTTGGCTTCCTCCTACTAAAATTTGACTCCACTAAGGTGGAGGTTTTTTTCTGTTTTGTTCACTGCTGTCTCATCAGGACCCAGAACAATGACTAGAACATAGTAGGCAGCTTAAGAGATGATTTATGTAGTAGGCACTTAAGAAATATTTGTTGAATGAATGAATGGTACTCAACGGATGTTTGTCGAGAGAATGAATTGATCAATTGATCAGTCAGTCAAGGAAACTCCATGGGAGAGGTACAGAGAAAGGCTTTCAGATTTCAGAGGACGGGGTATCATTTCTGGCAGGGCTGTGGCAGGTGGCCAGGGAAGACTTTTCTGTGGAGGTGATGAGTTGTCAAATTCACAGTTCACCTTGGGAAGAGTGGGATCTGAGAAAAGTAGCAGGTCACAGGTCACTTCTTTCAAGGGAAGGGAGGAAGCTGGGATTGGAAATGCTAATCATCCCATGAAGAATGGCTCCTCTTGGCGGCGGAATACACACAGGGCTGCTCTGTTTATTTTCCTTTGGCCCCAAGGAGCTGGGCCTCTTTTTCATCCTAATTACTTTGCTTCAAGTTGCTGTCACATCCCAGGAACGGCAGCAAATTAACTGTGCTGGTGGGAGACACAGTTGTTGGAAGACAGGCTGCCCCCAACAGGCCAGTAATGGACGTGGGATACAGGACCCCCTGGAGGAGGTCTTGTCCCAGCAGCATCCTCTGCAGCTCTCATGATTCTGCCCCAGCTGGACTGGGGAAGCATGAAAAGAGGGAGCCCTTCTCTCTGGCATCTGAGTAACTAACAAAGGGAAAATGGGCCTTTTGTTGGGCTACAGGGTCTTGGAGCAGGGT